ACGGGTTAGGGGTTTCTCCAAGCTGTGGTTTTGCTCAGGCCATAATCACCTTGGTTAGGCAAGCCAAAAGGCCAAAAGAGAAGCCGCCACATGTTTGTGGGCCTCCTTCCTGTTCTGCCCATTTTTGTGGTCCCATTCAGAACATTGCCCATGTTTGATGTTTGGTTGTCCCCCGCATTTTGTGACACATGAGCCACAATCAAAGCCCGGGTAGATGAAGGTTAGTAAGGGACGATCCCAGCCAGAAGTAGCTGCGGATATCCGCCTTCTGAATTCTTGAAGCATGGTTCTGGGTCAACATTTTTTTTTAAACTCACATGTCTTACAGGTTTATTTATTTTTACATGGCACTGGGTCTTTACAGGTTTTGATTTTGGCTCTCACGTTTTTCATGCGCGAGGCACGCGGAGCTGCGGGAGATGCTGCGTGCGCTGGTGCCAGAGCCGCTGGAGTGGCGGGCCCTGCAGCTGGCAGCCACCTGGGCTGAAGTGGGCCGGCCCCTGCAGGAGGCGCCGAAACTGCTTTTGAGCCTCTGGCTCTGGTAGCTTGTGCACCCAGCTGCAAGTGCCCATTGCGGATGATGCTGGTGATGCGGACTGTTGACTTCTGGTGATGCAGTGGTGATGCAGGTGATGCAGGGGATGCAGGCGGACATGGCAAGGGGAATTAGGGGGTGGGGGCCACGACTTTGGCCAACGGCTTGTTTCTTGTTTGGGCCCATCCCCTTTTATTGTGACAATTCTTGTTGGTGTCCGTTCTTTCAGTTTAGAATTGCCCACTTCTCTCTCTCTCTCTCGACAATCTTTGGACACTCCGCAGCATCTTTCAGCCATTCTCCAAGCCAAACGAGGTGGCGTCGTTTTTGATCCCCCCCCCCAAAGCCCCCCGCTTTTTTTTTACAATCTGACACAGGTGCACCGCCGCCCGGGGCTGCGCGCCCAGTGCCGGCGCCTGCGGGTGCGCCTGCGGGGCCTGGACCGGCGGGACCTGCTCGCGGGGGCGAAGCGGCCGCTGGAGGACGGTCTGCCGGGGGGGGGGAAAAAATAGTAAAAGGAGAATTCAAAGAATTATTCTTTCTACTATTTTTTCTCCAACAGCAACACAACAAACAGAAAACAAAATCCAGAACAACAAGCAAACAAAATAAATAATCACAACCAGCAACAAAAATATTTAATCACAGCATGCAACATTAAATAATTCAAACAAGCATACCAACAAAACAGCAACACTCTAAATCATCAAAGAACCCAAACTCAAAAACACACATCAACAAAAATCAAAGCAACATACCAACAAAAAATATCACAAGAGTATCAAACAAAACAAAAACAAACAGCCAAAGCACGAAAAAATTGAAGAAGCATGCCAAGTCTAAACAACGCACTTTGAAAGAGATAAGCAAATTATAATAATTCAATCTTTACAAACGATAAATATATTACAATTATAACATATAATATTTTACATGTGATAATCATAGTATGATTAAACCTATTTTCAGTGTTTCCAGTCTCCTATGTTGTTCCAAGAACTGCTTAAGATGTTTCTGATATTATACCAGATTAAGTTAACGTCATAATCTTTCATTGGTGCTCTTTGTTGTATTAAATAACGCAACACTGATATCAAAGTATAATAATTACAATGCATTGTTGTCATTCCTCCTCTTTCATTAATACTATTACCATTACGTTTAACGAGTTCTTCTTTCATTATGTTTTCGTAAATCTCTTTTATCCATTGATGATTTTGTTCTCCATACTCAGCGAACATATCTGGATATATATCTTTCATTGTTTTATCGTTTTTAATTATTTCAATGACTTGTTTATACGATGGATAGGGATTATCCTTAATGAAACTCAATATTATCTTTCTATCCTGTTCCAGCTCTTTTTCTGTCACTCCTAGCATTGGCATTTTTCCTATTATTATATTAAGTCTTTATTCCTTTAAGTCATTTTACATTATAATTATAACATATAAGGGTATACATGTTATTATTATAGTATGGTTTTAGGGTATTAAAGTAAAACCATTCTTTGGGGAAAAGGGTAAAATTCCCCTTTCTTTGGGGAAAAGGGTAAAATTCCCCTTTCTTTGGGGAAAAGGGTAAAATTCCCCTTTCTTTGGGGAAAAGGGTAAAATTCCCCTTTCTTTGGGGAAAAGGGTAAAATTCCCCGCCCTGTTTGGCAATTGGCGAGAGTTTCCTGATATATCTATATGAATATTGGTGTTGTCTAAATTTGATAAACTATGGATATTCCCCTTAAAATTCATTATTTTCAAATTTTAGAATTCCTATTTTTTAATGTGTTGTCGTTGGATGAACCTAGAAATTTCAAGTTTCAAGCCCAACCCCAAACTCAAAATCCTTAATCCGTCAAACTCACTAAGATTTCACAAATTAATTCGCTAGGTATTTTGTATAGGTCTTCTTGCTAAATAATTCTAATAAATTCATTTATTAGAATTATTTAGATATTATTTATTCAAATAATACATATACTCCATCATCATTTTTTGAAATTTTATAATAGTCTAATGTTTGTTGCTTTGGTTGCTTGATTTTTCCTGTATTCAACATATCACAGTATTTCTTTTGCTTTGTAGGGTAGTCTCCAGTTGGTCTTCCTATAGATTTTGCTTGAAATATCTTTTCGATTTTTTCTTTATCTTCATTGCGTTCAACTGGTTTCATTTTGTCATCAATGGATTTAATCATATCATTTAAGGTTTTGATATTTTTACCAATTAATGTTATCTTCTTCATTAAATCATTAATAGTATAATTCTCATTTTCAGACATTACTATATATTTATTTAGATAATTATTTATTTAATTATACAATTTACCTGAATAATTTAATGTTATATATGTAAATAAATTATATTCTAAGAGTCTTTCATCAATTTTATTTTTCAATTTTATTAAACCTTCATCGTTACCTGTAATTTCAAGAAACTTCAACATTTTATCAAATTTATCCGGTTTAGTTATACCTTTCATAAAATATTTATTATTAAATTTAGCATCTAACCAATAAAAATATTCTATACTCAATTGTCTAGCAAAGTTTTTATCACCATCGAATAGGTCTTTAATTTCTTCATTGTCAAAAGTTATAATTCTATGGTCTTGTCCATTCATAGTTGGCATTATGATTATATAAATAATTAGATATTTATTTATTTATTTAATTATTTATATTTATAAAGTGCAATTATGTTAAATCTACTCTTTAATACTAATTTTTTATGATTTGTTTAACAGTTTCCTGAGTTTCATTTTCATTATTATCGGTTGGTGTTGCTTGCCTACCAAATTTAAAAGTTATACTATGGACATCAGTTTCTAAGTTAATACTGTCTTTAGTTTTATCAATACTCATTTTCTTATCATTTTTACTTATTTTGAAACTTGTTGGAATACATGAACATTTACAATTTTTATTATTTTTTTATTTCTAATTCATTTTTAAGTTCTAACCTCTTTTTGCACATAGGACAAGCAATCTCAAATACTGATGTTTCTTTAACAATTCCGCTATCTTCTTCTGTTGAAGATAGACTTAAACTTGTCTTATTTTTGTTTTTCTTTTTCACCATTTATATTAATATTGACATTTTTATTTTTGATATATTGTATCACAAACTTAATTATTTCTAGTGAATAATAACAACATTTCTTAATTTTATTATCGGTTATTAGTACTTGTTCTATATTCTCCATTTCATCTATTATATTAATATAATTTGAATAACTCCTTTTCATATTAAATAATAAGATAAATTATTTTTCATTTCTGTCTTTCTTTTCCTGTAAAGTTTTTTCATTGTATCGTCTTTATTCCATCTATATTCTACAAGTTTCTGATGATGTTTTGAATTTAGATGTTTAAATAAATATTTGCTATCATAAGTTTTACAACAATTACAATGGATAACAGTCATATAATAATAAGATAAAATAATTATTTAGATTATTTAATCTTATTATTTTCATGCATGATAGAATATTCGAGGGCTCAGCACTTGGGTTTTCATTGCACGCGAGAGAGATACAAACTAATTAGCTTCAATGCTTATTGATTGTAGCAATGGAAACCTGTTCCATTATGTTATTCACCGCCACTCATAACATAATGATGTTCCATTAATATTAAATAGAATATTTATTTAAACTATTTTCTTTAGTAAGTTTTACTGCAGTTGATATATCAACATCTAGAATATTATTATTAATAATTTTTTGCACACCATTTATCATTTCATTTGTATATATATCGGGATAATCTTTCATAAAATTCAATAATTTATTATAATTTAGGATATCCTCGTTTTCGATTGATGATTTAGGTATTATAGTATTTTGGTTATTAATCATCGATAAAAACGTTAAAATCGTATCATAATAAATTTGGCCAGTATCTGGAACTAAAATATCACCGAATTTATATGTATTCCGAATACTAGTAACTTCACTTAGATTAATAGATCTTCTTGGCATTATGATTATATAAATATTTATATATATTTTTTATTTATAAGTATTTATAATATTATTTTTATTATGCCTGATGTAAAACCAATTGATGAAATCAAATATGACTTTAAGCAAAGTAAGCATGAGGTCGTCCCTAAATTGCCGATGAGAGCTATGATCGTCGGTCCATCTGGAAGTGGAAAATCAACTTTACTTGTATCAATGATACTTGATATTTATAGAGGAGCATTTGAAAGAATTTTTATCTGGTCTCCATCTGTAAATTTAGATAGTATTTGGTTGCCAGTGAAGAAATACATTAAAGAAGGTTTGAAAGTAGATAATGATAAAGAACCGTGTTGGTGGGATGAGTTCAATGTTGAAGATTTAGAAAGAGTTATAGAAACTCAAAATAAAATAATTGAATACCAGAAAAAACAAGGAACGAAGAAATTATTTAATATTTTGGTAATTTTGGATGATGTATCTGATAATCCAGCAATAACAAGAAATAACAAATTGTTAAATTCTTTATTTTGTAGAGGTCGTCATAGTGGAATATCAACACTTGTAAGTCTTCAAAAATCATCAACCGTACCACCAATTATTAGGGTAAATATAAGTCATTTGTTTTATTATAAAGTTAGAAATTTTAAAGAGATAGAAATATTGCAAGATGAATTATCAGCAATTGTTAGAAGCGATAATTTACATGAAAGCAAGAAACTAATTTATAAAATATATGAGACTGCCACTGATGAACCGCATAGTTTTTTATATATTAACCTTTTAGAAAAGAACCCAGATAAAATGTTTATGAAAAAGTTTTCTCAATATTTGAAAATTACTAATTAAATAATTAAATAATTAAATAATTAAATAATTAAATATATATTAATATTATATGATATTTTATGATTTACCAATAGAAATTAAAGACATAGTATTATCTTATAGTTTAGGCGATGTTAGATTATTAAAAATCAAAAATATTAATATTATGAAAAATTATGTTAATAAATATAAACCAGTATATAAATCTTACACATTAAATAACATACATTATTTTGAAATTGATAATATCAATATTAATAATGGAATATCATATATTTTTAATTTAAGTGAGTTAGATAAATTACATCAAAAAAATAAACCATTAAAATTATTTATTGAATATGATATATTTGTTACATTTAGCTCGTTTACTCGTTGGTTTAATGTGTGTAATCGAACTTTAATATCAATTAATTTATTTGATATTTATTATTTTCTTAATAAAGACCTTCATAAAGTTAAATTAGTGTATGCGAGTGATATGGCTAATTTTATTTCATTACAAGTGAAAAAAATAACTATTAAAGTCATCAATGAAGATGACCAAATTATTATTGATGACTTTTATTTTTATCTTTAAAATTAATAGCATTAAGATTCTGACTTAATGTCATTAATTCAGAACAAACTATAACTACACAAATTTAACGCTGGTAATTTATATATTAATTTATCAGATTTTTCTTTTTCAATT